TGCGGCTTCGTCGTCTCTTTGCGTGGCGTCTAGGGCTCGGATGAGGGTGTCCAGCGTTTCTCCTCTGCCGTGTGCCTGAGAGGGAGGCTTGAGGCTGTTATTTGATTCGTCGCCGAGGATTTGTCTGATGTCTTCGTGCCAGGGGGTCGTGGTACCCTGTGCCCCTCCTTCTGTGGGGGAGGGAGGTTGGCGCCCTCCTGTTCTTCCGGCACCCGCGTTGCCACTCCTGGCGCGCGCCCTGGCGCTTCGGGCCTGCATCCCACGCTCCACTGCGTCCCTGTCTGCTGTTAGGATTGCCTCTTGGAGCTGTCCGAGAGAATCGAGCCAGCTCATGGCGCGTTCCTGGAGCTCTGGGTGGATGTATCCCCCTGGAAGGGGGGCCTCAATCACTCTTCCTGTCTGGCGAGATAGGGTTGCCGCTGCTAGCCCGAGGCGGTGGTGCGCTACCTCTAGCGAGGTAATGCCCGTGTAGTGCCATCGCCTGGCTGCATGCGCCACTAAGGAGCGAGGGGTCCCGGTGGCCTCGAAGACGTGCTCCAGTGTGGCCCGGCCCCCCTCTGTGGCTGAATCCCAGATGAAAGGGACCAGGAGCCTGCTCCAGGTCATGTTGTTTGGTATGCTGTCGCTTGCTACTTACGCGCGGATCTCCGAGATCTCATGGAGCAGTCGGCGTGCGCTGCCCACCCTCTCCAGGGGGAGCGGGGTGCCTCTTTTCGGCTGGTGCCCATCGTCTGCTCGGTTCTCGCCTCCCACTCTCCTCATGGCTTGTTGGTTGACTCCGCGAGTCGCAGGAGGGCCCACCCCTCGCGCCCTTGTGCGCAGCGCGATCGCGAGACGCGTTGCTTCACCTCAGGGGCTGCCAGGCGCAAGGAGGTCAGCAATGAGCCTTCCATCTCTTCTGGCGGAGGCGATTGGGGCTGCGCAGGCCACCTCGGTCGCCTCGGCGCTCGCGCCCTGCGCCTCGATGGAGGCCCTGTCCGCGGGGGCGGCGAGGAGAGCTTGATCCAGGAGATTACCTCATATTTCTCTGCGGAGCCATTATGAGTCCTCTGTGGGGGGGTTATCCAGGCACTGCTGGCATCTCACCCTCAAGTCCTGAGCCCTGGGCCTGGCGCCCGTTGGGTCGTGGAGTTGGGCCGGCAGTGTCGCGCTGGAGGTTTGGGCGAGGCCCCTGGGCACCCACTCGCGTAGCGGCCCGCTGGAAGAGATTTCCCTGATGCGGTCCTGGATTTGAATAACAATCTCCAGGGCCCATCCCTGTGGGGCGCTGCAGAGTCTGGAGAGGGCGGCCGCCGCGGCTCTGAGCATCGGTTCGCCTCCCAGACTTGTGTCGTCCCTCTCAGCGGTCGGGTGCCAAGATTCGTTTGCGGTCCCGCCGCTGGCGAGTGCCATGTCAGTCATGTGGCGCCATGCTGCGAGTAGCTCCGCGATCAGCCATGACGGGGAGTAGCTGGTGGTCTCTGGTGGGCGATCTGGGGGGCCGATGTGGCTGGCGATAGGGGCGTAGCGCGCCCCCACTCTGGCCAGTTGGAAGGTGAGTGGGGTGCCTAGAAGGTCAAGCGGATGTCCTGGGGCTTCGAGGCTGTCGGGGTGGAGCTCCTCTGCGGCCTGTGCCCAGGGGGAGGCTAGCCCGCGGCAGACGATGCACATCGGGCCGCGAGGGTCGCGCGCAAGCCAGCAGCCGCAATAATCACATATGTCGACAGGTCGGAAGTAGTCCCCGAACCTTATCATGCGGGATGTACTGTTCATGGGCCAAGGGCCTCCGGGCGTGCCACTACCCTCGAAGATGGGTCCTGCGATGCCTGGGGGGGTGGGGCCCCGCGCCTGGGATGGCAGGAGTGGCCCGGCCGTCCTGCCCTGCTCCATGCTGTTCAGTAGAAAGGACGTCCGCCCCTGCATCGGCCCAATTGCCTCTGCTGACCGCCCAGTTCCTGACCTCATTGTGGTCTGGGAAATGTACCAGGTTGCGTCGGTGTTCGTGGATAAGGTAGCGGCAAAATCTGGCTCTGTGCTCAGAGTCGGGAACAGCCAGGATCGCGTCGGTTGCGTCAGGGCTGCGTCGTGTCGCCACCTCGAGAGCCCTAACAGGGGCGGCGGAAAGAGGCCCTCCGACGGGTCGCCCGCCCCGATGTCTGTGTAGAGGGCGGCGTAGGGTAGGACATCGTATTCCCCTTCCGCCGCAATGGTCTCGGCCTGGGTTGGCTCGTCGCAGCCCAGGTTCTCCGCTTCGACGGCAGGATCCTGTGTTAGGCTTGCGTAACGAAAGGCCAATACCTGCACTGGGCCCGGACCTACTCCTCCGAGTCTCGCCTCGTGGTCAGAACCCGTGGTTGACCGCCCCGACCAGGAAAGGTCGAGCTGCGCCATTGCCGAGGCGCAGGTGCGCCGCTGCTGGGGGGGGGTCCTGCTCCACTTGAACCGCATGGCTGGGGTCTGCTCTTAGGGGGCATTGGACGCCCCCTGTTGTGGAGGGGCCCCCGCTGACGGCTGCGTGCCAGGGAGGGCGGCGGAACCAGCAAAAGCTTACCATACTCAAGGCCAATGCTCATTGCTTGGTTGCGGAGTGAGCGCCTGGGGAGCTCCCTCCACGGGCCTTCCAGTGGTTCGTGGTGTTCCATGAGCGCCGCAAGTGCGCCTCCTCTCATGGTACCTCTAGGGTCGACGACCCTTGGGGCCAGGAGGGGGGCGTCGGCATCGCGGGTGCCGCATCGCCTGGGATGAGGGGAGGGCCTGCGGATAGCTGGGTCTACGCCATAACCCAGGTCAGCCTCCTGCCCTTCCGAATTGAACAGCCTTGAGCCTGGCTGTGGGGACAGGGGAAGGCCTGGAGGTGGAGTGATCCGGCGACCGCGGGCGCGGTTGTCTGATCCATCGTCGATCTCGTCGGTATCCTCCCAATCGTGGTGCGGTTCGCTGTCGGAAGTGCTTCCGCTGGGCTCGCGGTCCCGCAGGAGCCATTCCCAGTCAACCTCATCCCAGGGCTGCTGTCCGTTGCCAGCATCGACCCCGATCGGGTGGAAGGGGGGCGCGGGGGAGATCACACTGTATTCGCCCTGGCACACGGGGGCAGGAGGAATCGGGAAAGCGGCAGAGGGGGCATGCGAGAGCGAGCTGGGTGGGTTGGGTGGGAGGTCCCCTTCCGCTGGCCCTGCTCGAGTCCAGCGGGCTCCTGGGTAGGGTGTCCTCTCTGTCACCCTGGGCGTCCCGCGCGCCCGCCATGGGCGCAGGCGGGGCTCGATCCTGGGAGGGGTCATCTGGCGATCTGCGATTACCAGCGTCGTCCATTGGCATCTCGCTACGGTGGGGGGCGCAGCCGAAAGCCGCAGAAACTGATGAATCCTGGTCAGCATTGGTGGCGCAGCCGAAAACCGCTAAACAAGGATCCTGGTCATGAGGAAGAGGAGGAAGCTGGGGGGCGCAGCCGAAAGCCGCAGTCACAGATGTATTGGAGGAGGGGGGGGGTTGGATGGTCCTCTGGAGCAGTACTGTCTGCTCCGTGTCCGCTCTTTCTTCTTCACGCGATCTCTGAGGTGAGGCGACCGCCGCTGCAAGGGGGGGTCTGCTTCCCTGCCCCCTCGGTGGGGGGCCAGCGCCGTCCAATTCTATGGACTCGCGTCTCCAGTTACATCGTCCACAGCCGTCTCTTGGTTCACTACGAGAGCCTCATTCTCGGCCTCAGGGGGCTGGGTGGAACCTGCTGCTGGGGCCTCGCAGTGACGGATTGACCCCCTGCGGGGGGAGGAGGGAGGCGTGGACGGGACTGGGATCAGGACGGGGTCCATGGTGGCGTCAGGACGGGCTTCATCCCCCTCTATATGGCTGCCGTCCTCCGCGGGGCAGGGGGCCATCGTGGACGCAGCTCGCGTCGGCCCTGTGCCTGCCTCGACTGCAGGGGGGGGCTGCTGTCTGGGGGGGGTCTGCGATTGATCTGGATCTGGAGGGGGCCGATCGGAACCAGTGACTGGGCTCCCGCGCCCTGCACTGAATGATCATTGCCTTTGTCCCCGTCATCAGGCCGGTCCTCCATGGGGCTGCGGCCCGGATCCGATCTAAGCCGCGGGCCGCTGAGCCCGTCTGCGCTGGCGGCAAGGCTGCAGCAATGGCCGGCGCGCCCAGGAGGCCGGAGGGGATCCAGGGCCGCGGGCCCACGGCGCAGCGTCTGGGCGCCCCCTTGAGCGGCGGGAGACTGCCCCGGAGAGGGCAGGCCCACCAGACGGCTTGAGCCAGGCTGCGGACGACTGGTGGGGATACGCGAATCGTCAACCATTTATTCTATACCGTTCTTCGCCCTCTAATTCAAACATGTTGAAATGTTGACATCTCTTGGGGGCCAGGCTTTTGCTTCCGCTGGCCTTCCGCCGCCGGAGGCGGCTCCGATGTACGCCCACCGCCGAGGAAGGGATGCTTACTCACTCGATCCTCCAAGGCGAGGTCCCTTCTTAGAAAGAACAAGCAATGGCTTATGTTGCTCCCATCGCACTTAAAGACCACACCTCAAAAATAATTTCGAGCACCCAGAAAAGTATCGAAACAGTGTCGAACGAGTATCGCCTCCCAGGGCCCGACAAGTGAAAACCATGAAGTTTCGGTACTGTCTCGGTGCTCGAAATTATTTCTTGCGATCAAGGCTAAAGTAGGTTGGAACATCATCAGCAATGGCATCAACTTAACAACTCTGGGGCCGCGCGGATTTCTCGGTCTGGATCGGCGCTGGACGCGCGGGGCGCGCCAGGGACGGCGCCAGAGGCGCCGCCAGGGGGCCTCTGAATATCTATGTGTTTGTCACTGTTCCTCCCCCTATTTCTGGAGCGCCCCTCATGGGCTTCAGCCAAACATGTTCTAGGCACATCGCGCCCACAGAGCAGAGAGCTCGCAGAATCTCGCAGCTGGGCGTAAGATAAGAGCACGTCAGGGCGCTTCGCCACTGCTTGGGGAGTGGCAGATCCCTCGGATCGGACATCTCGTCGGGGCTCGAGGCTCTCGGGGGCGCTGCGGGCCTCGGCGCCCGCCGCATGCAGCGCCAGCAGATGGCGGCCCCGCAGCCCACGGCCACCGCGCTCCCGGCGCCCTCCGGCCGGCCGCAGAACATGCCGCCGTGCGAGGGCAGCCTCCCCTCCTCCCCGAAGAGCATTTTGTCTGGCCGTGGGTTGGCGCCACGCCCCAGCTCCCTTGCTCTACACTGCGAAATTTGCTCACTTCTTATACAGAGCGAGGTCAAGCGTTCCAAAACTTTTTACTAGCGCGCTCGATGCAATCCCCATTGGTTGGCCGAACTGATGTATTTCTTCTTCTGAAATAATTTAAAGCCTGATCATCATCTCCACAACATTAGTAAATGGCAATGAGATTGATGCACACGGCGCGACGAATAGGGACCGAGAATCGGAACGAAGCGAGGGGCAAAGAAGACACCACGGCGGAGGGACCACGGCCGAGGAGGAAAACCGGGGCCCCAGACAGGGAAGGGGGTCCAGCTGAGCCCGCCGGGCACTTGCGCCAAGTTTGGCGGAGGGCTGTAGGTGGAGGGTAGGGCGACGAGATCTATACATATCCACTGCTCCTGGCCAGGCCCATCCTGGGCCCAGGAGCTGTGTATATGCCTCCCTGGCCAGGCCAGGAGGGCGTATACACCGCTCCTGGGCCCAGGATTGGCCTGGCCAGGAGCAGTGGATATGCATAGATCTCGTCGCCCTAGAGGGCAGGCCCCAGGGGCAGGCCCAGGGGTAGGCCCAGGGAAGGCCCAGGGGTCCACGTCCTCGGGCGCTGGCCCCCCCCCCACAACCCCCAAGGGGGCCTCTGGGCCCCTCGGTGGCCGCGGGCCGTCTCACGGCCGCTTTCTCGGCCTGCCGAGGGCCTCCTCGAGGCGGAAGGATATATCTTTGCTGTTCCCCTTCTGCGAGGTCGAGAGGTCCAGACGAGGACGCATTCGCCGAGAGCTGCCGCCGGCCGCCCAGGCAATCGAGGCCGCCATCGGTGGCTTTCTCCACTCTTAAGCTATGCGCGCCAGCTCGGCACCCGCTCGGGCGGCGGCAGAGCCCGCTACGCGTGGCGGAAAGATGGTGGACCGACAGCCGGCGGCACGCGCACGCAGCGCCAAAACGATATCACCATCGTTGCCCTCTGATGCCGCCATTTGCTTTGCTACTGCTGTCCCCTTCGCCCTGAACCTCGCCATAGGGTTCAGGTGTTCGGTAGCGTGTGACTGCTAGCCGAGTTAGCCTTCCAGGAGCTGGCGACCGCCTCCCCCTTCCCCCCGTTCCCAGTGGTGGCAAAGCTGAGGGGCAAGTAGTGGGAGAGGGCAGGCCTTCTCTGCAGGCGGCGGGGCCTCGGCGAAGGGGGCAGGCCTTTCCAGAAGGCAGCGGGGCCTGGGAGAAAGCCCAGACAGCTTCTCGGGAGGCGGGGGGCCTTCAGAGCCTCCTGAGAAGGCCCGCCCCAAGGTTCAAAACTAGCCCCTGGACCCCTCCCAGGGTCCGTCCTGGCCAGTTTTCTGAAGCAGATCCATTGGTGGCGACGAAAAGTTTCTTGGAGAGGCCGCAGGCAAACTTATCCTGGCGAAAGACCCAGCCATATTCAGTTGAGAGCACCGCGGTGTGGGTACAACGTTTGGTGGAGCCCCACCTGGGGCCACGAAACAGAAGTGGCGAGGGAGTCTCAAGCGAAACGCCCGGCCAGCCCTACCGACACGTCCGGGAGTGCGACAGGGAGGAGCTGGTGAAAAAGGAAAAGGAATGGAGGAAGAGGGAAGAGGAGGGGACCCTCACCCACGGCGGCCCGCCGTCAGCCCGGCAGCACGATCGCCCCCCACCCGCAGAGGCCTCCGTAGGCACCGGCTGCAGGCGGCGCCCGCCGTGGCGAGGCCAGCCCTCGCGGGGCCTGCGGCCGCCTCGCGCCGCCGCCCGCTGCCGCTCGAGGCGGCGGCGGCGGCGAGGGCGGCGGTGGCGGCGGCAAGGTGGGCGGGCGAGGCGGAGGGGATCGGATTTTAGGGAGCCCACAAAGGACGTACGCGCCCAGCTATGTACATGAACACGGCCCCTCGATTCGCGAGACCGGCCGCGTTATACGAGCATTTGTGGAATGCGTGCTCTCGAAACCAGCGTGGATTCATGTACATGTACGTCCTTCTTTCGCTCCTGAGATTTGGACGCCCGAAAAAGGTACGGGAAAAATGGGTACGATGCCAAACAACAGATGCTGTAAAAAACCGACAGAGGCCGCGGTTGGTCTGGCGGCCTTCTGTCTCAAACGTGCAACGCTCGCGGCGACACCGACTCAGAGTCCCGTTGAAAATAATCAGGAACTGCTGCCGGCCTTCGTACCCATCCTTTCCGTCGCCATTTCGTTCGTGCCGGCCAGAGGATGGGAGGGAGGGGGAGGAACCTCCAAGGTGTGAGGCGTGGCGGTTGTTTAGGCTCGCGTGGCATTAACACGCGTTGCCACACCAGTGAGGTGAGGGAGAGGGGGGAGGGGAGGGGAGGGGGGAGATGGGGCAAGAGGGGGGGAGGGGAGGGGAAGAGGAGGATGATAACGAAACGAGAGAAAACAAGCAGAAAGGATAAATGAGGACGCAAGGAGGAGAAATTGGATGAGGAGACGGCAAGGGCGGAGGAGGCAAATAAAAAGGGCGGATGAAGCAAATAACATGAACCCGCACCAAAGGGCACTCCGGCGAAGGGCCACTCTTAGGCGTAGCCGAGAGGAGAGTTGCACCCGAACTCGCCTGATCCAGGGGACGAGGATCGATGGCGAGCCGGGGGCAAGTGAGAGCCTTCGAAGCCTTCTCAGGAGGCACGGAGAGAAGGTGGCGCCTCCACCGAGGGGCTACCCGTGCGGGCCTTCTTCCAGGGCGGCGCCGCCTCCGAGGGCGCGCCTGCCGGGGGGGCGGGAGGACGGGGGGATGTGGAGAGGACGGGGGCGAGGGAGAGGGGCGGCGGGAGGATGGGGTGGGGGGGAGAAGACGGGGGCGGGTGTGTTGCGGCGGCGGCGGGAGGAGGGAGGGGTGGAGAGGACGGAGGCCAAGGGAGAGGGGCCCTGAGATCCTGGCGTTGTAGTCTTTGTCACAACAAGCACTCTTCGCCGCCCCGCAAAGCCCTCACAGATCGAGCCGGCTCGAAAAGTGGCGCGGAAGGATGGGGTCCAGCGCTCTGGTCGTGACTGTTTGAAATGTTTAAATTTTTTCCGCAGCATCGGATCTCAAGCGGAGGCCGGGCGAAGACGAGAAGGATGCATGGATGATGATGGAAGATTGGGGACGAGGAGAAGGACGAGGAGGAAGAGGAGGAGGGACGACGATTCCCCTGGATCCCGCATCTACAAGCGCCAGCAATGTCGCCTTCAAACGCTCGGCAGGCGGCAGCACCAGTGGTACCGTCATTCGCGGGAGTCCAAGGCGCCGCACCGCTGGACAGTCCACTCTAGACTGAAAGCTGCATCGCGGTCGTGTAGTCCGCGCCAGGAGGGATGAAGAAGAGGGATCGGAGGGACGAGAAGGATAATGAGGGAAGGAGGACGAGGAGGGCGCGAGAGGAGGAACAACATAGGAATGAAGAGCAGAAGGCGTACGACGACGAAACTCGAGGAGGAGAAAGAGGAAGCGGACAAGGAGGATGATAACACTGGACGGCCGCTGGCAAAACTCGCACTGTCCTTGAGTACTAGAATAGAACCCTCGCTCATGCAGGGGGAAACCGAAAGATACCAATACCGCTACTCCCCAAACCTCTCACGGGGTGCTTTCTGTCGAGAATTTCGAGGCGAATCCAGCCGTGGCGAATCCAGCAAGGGCAGCGGTATCGATCCCTTGTCTTCCTCTGACATGAACGCTCCTCTGCACACCATCTGGCTGAACAGTGCAGAGCGAAATATATTAGACGCAATCACGATGCTTGCGGAGACTGTCCAGCATCCCGCACTCATACATCAGCCGGGTAAGCAGCGCTTCCGTGCGGCATACGTGCAGAAGCTGTGCTTTAAATCCCACCAGCCCTTTGGGCGTGAGTGGTTTAGAGAGCTCTCTCTGTTCTCAACCCCCCTTCTTCCCCTTCGGGGAGGGGTTTACCCCTCCCCCTACCCCCTCCCCCTGGGCCTGGAGAGGGCGCCCCGCGGGTCGTTGGAGGGGTCTTTTTCGACTCCTGGGAGGGCTAAAAAACGACACCCCTCACGAGGATTCTGGCCCCGACGGGGGGAGGCAGAAAAGTGCTCCCCTCTTCTTTGAAGCCAGAATCATTGATTTTACTACGGTTTTGGCCCCATTTTGGCCTTCTGAGGGGGCAGCGCTAATTAAAGCTCCCCTCTTCTTTCAAGCCAGAATCATTGATTTTACTAAGGTTTTGGCCCCATTTTGGCCTTCTGAGGGGGCAGCGCTAATTAAAGCTCCCCTCTTCTTTGATCGATTTCCTCCCAGATGGCCCCAAGAAGCGCCCAGGAGGCACCAAGAGGCCCCAAGATGGCCCCAAGAGGCCCCCAGGAGGCCCCCAAGAGGATCCCAAACGGCCCAAAGAGGCCCCCCCGAGGCACCCAAGACGCCGAAAAGCCCATCAGGACGACCCTCTACTCGCCTGGGCGTCGTTTCTGGACGGGCAGGAGGAGGGGCCCGAACGACTCACACCAGGACGAGGGGCCCGAACAACTCACACCACGAGAAGCCCGAACGACTCACACCAGGACGAAGAGCCCGAACGACTCACACCACGAAGAGCCCGAACGACTCACACCAGGAAGAAGGGCCCGAACGACTCACACCAGGACGAGAAGCCCGAACGACTCAAACCACGAGGAGCGCTTTCTCTCCCTCCTCCTCCGCCTCGTCCTTCTCCCGCTCCCACCACAAGGAGGATGTACAAGGAGGCGGGAGGAAGGAGGAACAGGGGAGATATGCGGGGGCAGGCGGAAACACGCCTGAAAAACACGACTGTCGGCATGCTTCGCTAGAGTTGCTGTTTTGAGATGGGCTGGTGGGGATACGCGAAGCGTGAAGAATTCTCTCTTGTCCTACCGCCAACTCGCACTCGTTGGTGACATTGTCCAGCTCCCCGACGACAGCCCACTCAGGCGATGCATATTTGAGCCCGGCACCGCCGACTTGGCCCGCCCGGGCGGGCGCCGCAAGCGTGGCAGACCAACAAGTACTTGGACGCGTCATGTTTTTAGCATGGCGTGCGAAGTGGTTGGCGGCAACGACGCCCTGCGCCAGATATGGCAGGAAAGCCCGCTGGCACGGCGCATCCGCGCAAAGTGCTTCTGCTTTCAGCCGCTGTAGCTGTTTAGCCCCCTTCCCCCCCCCCTCCTCCTCCTCCTCCTCCTCCTCCTCCTCCTCCTCCTCCTCCTCCTCCTCCTCCTCCTCCTCCTCCTCCTCCTCCTCCTCCTCCTCCTCCCCCAAGCTTAGCGTGCTCGCGGTTTCATCCCATATGTTCCATTTCACCCCTCTTTCTGCCAACGCACCATGGTTTGCACGGCGTTTGTCTGTCTGTCTGTCTGCCTGACATGAATGCTCCGTCGGGCTGTGGAGGCTTTCCCGCAGCGCGCGGGTTGCCCGCTATCCTTGGCGAACTCGCGCGTGCCCTTCCCGTGTCGTGACCTACGGCAACGTGGTCGACCGCCTGAACTGTCGCGCTCGTCATTTAGGCAGACACCAAGACCACTGCGGACCCCATAGGTGCATACTCGGGTACACTCTCAAGCGTCCCTGCTGCAATGGCAATACTCAAAGGCTGACACCAAGGGGCTCGGATGCGCAAGTGACACAGGAACCTGGGCACCGCCGCCAACTCTTGACCATCGACCCGCGCGCCCAAGCTGTTCAAGCGAGGGCAGCATCCTCACGCAGCCCGTCCCCTGCTGTCCCCTCCCCCCCTCCCCCCCGCCACCCGCCCTCATTGGTTCAGGAACCCTTGGATCTGCCGGCCCCCTTTGCGCGGCCACCAGGCTGCGAGGATGAGGATTGCAGCTCCCTGTTCCAGTTGCAGCTTCCAGTTTCCACTGTTACAGTCCTGCTTTCTGCTTCCTTCTTGTTAATTGTTGTTGAACGCGTGAGGGGGGGGCCCAAACCAGCTTTTTTACCACGCCGAGATCGCGTTGTCTGAATTCCTGGGGGGGCGTGGGACACGCGAAAATGCATGATATTCGCGTTCCCGAGGCCATAATCCCTTGTAGCCTTGTAGATTAAACAATATGCGCGCCCCCGAGAACATAAACCCACGTGAATTACCTAATATTCGCGCCCCCGAACCTATAAACCTTCGAAACTTATACAAGATTCGCGTCCCCAAGGCCATAAACCTTTGAATGAAAACCATATTCGCGCCCCCAAAACCATAAACCCAGGTAAATTACACCATATTCGCGCCCCCGAAACCATAAACCTTTGAACATTATACAATAGTCGCGTCCCCAGGGCTATAAACGTTTGTAAATTACACCACACTTGCGTCCCCGAGGCCACAAGCCCTCGCAAATGATACAATATTCGCGTCTCCGAGGCCATAAACATTGACAGACATTACAAATATTTGCGCCCCCGAGGCCAGAAACCTTCATATATTACACAATAGTTGCGTCCCCGAGGTCAGAGAGAGCGTGATCCACCGCCGCTTTACTGTGGAAAATTGCCCCCCCCCCCTCTTCCTCCAGGACCAGGGTCCCCCCTCCCCCCCTCAGAAAATCCCGCCCCCTGCTGGACCCCCCCCCTCTCTCCCCTCCCCCGGCAAAACCCCCCCACGTCCCCCTAACCACTCCCCCCTCCCCCCTTCCCCCTCGAAAACCGGGGGGGGTCACTACCGGTTCGACCCCCCCCCCCCTCGAAAACCGGAGGGGGGGTCACTACCGGTTCGAACCACTCCCCAGCCCCCCCACTCACCGCCAGCAAACGACTCCTGGTCCCTACCACCGTCCGCATCACATCCCCCACTGTTGTTTCCAGCACCACTGTCCTCACCACCACTGTCCCCACTGGTTCCACTACCGTCCCTACTGTCCCCACCAGTGCCCCCACCACTGTCGCACTGTCCCCATTGTCCCCACCACTGTTCCAACCACGGTTCCACTCTCCCCACTTTCTCCACGGCCCCAACCACTGCCCAACTATCCCCACTGTCCCCACTGTCCCACTGACTCCTCCGCCGTCCCACTGAGCTGTCCCACTGTTCCCACCACTGTCCCCACTGTCCCCACCACTGTCCTTACTGTACCTCTGTCCCATTGTCCCACCGCCGTCCTCGCCACCGCCTTCACCACTGTCTCCACCACCACTGTAGCCTCCACTGTCCCACTGTTTCCACCTCATTCCCACTGTCCCCACACCACTGTCCCCACCACCACCGTCCCCACCACTGTCCACTGTCCCCACTGTTCCCACCATTGTCCTCACCACTGTCCTCACCACTGTCCCCACCACTACCGTCCCCACCACTGTCCCACTGTCCCCACCACTGTCCCGCTGTCAACTCACCACTGTCCCCACCACCACCATCCCCACCACTGTCCGCACCCCCACTCGGTTTTCAAGGGGGGGGGGGGGAGTTTCGAACCGGTAGTGACCCCCCCCGGTTTTCGAGGGGGGGGGGGGTTCGAACCCGTAGTGACCCCCCCTCCTTTTCCTGGGGGGGGGGGGAGGGGTTCGAACCGGTAGTGACCCCCCCCGGTTTTCCGGAATGGGTGGGGGTGGTGGGGTTCGAACCGGTAGTGACCCCCCCCCCCGGTTTTCCGCCAGCAGCGGTAGAACACGCTCTTTCCGAGGTCAAAAACCTTTGTAAATTACACAATATTCGCGTCCCCGAAGCCATAAGCCATTGTAAATTAAACGATACGCGCGCCACCGAAGCCATGAACCCTCGTAAATTAATATTGCCATCGCGTGAAGTCCCGACATTGCTT